ACTTTCAACTAGTGATAGCCTGACCTCAAGTGAATCTCAGAGAATACCTAAGCTCTCTGCAATTGGTCAAATAGGTCATCAATACGTGGCAAAGGATACCTATTCTTCACTGTGACTTTGGTTCTCTATAATCAATACACAATCTCACAGACCCATCCTTCTTCTTTACAAACAACACAGGTGCTCCCCAAGGTGAGACACTAGGCCTAACAAAACTTTTGTCTAGCAACTCCTGTAACTGAGTTTGTAACTCCCTTAACTCCAACGGTGCCATTCTATAGGGCGCTTTAGAAATAAGTGCTGTGTCAAGGACCAAGTTAATGGAAAAGTCTACCTCACGATCTAGAGGAAGTCCAAGTAGATTCTTTGGAAAAACATCAACACAATCACTCACTACAAGCAACTCCTCTAACTTTTATTCTCGTCGTTCAGTACTCACCACACAAGCTAAATAATGATGACACCCTTTCTCAACATTTAGTTAGCCTGAAAGGACATAATAAAACAAACAGAGACCCTTTCCTATCTCCTTGAAAGAAAAAACTCATGTTGCCCCAGCATAGCAAAAACTACCCTATTTCTAAAACAATCAACAGAGGTATGATGCTTGGTCAACCAATCCATCCCTGAAATCACATAAAAATCCTTCATCACTAAAGAAATCAAATCCACTGGAAAAATTTTACCATCCATCTCTTTCTCACAAGATCTACAATCATCTCCTAACACCACTGTTTCTCCCAATACTACTGTTCCACCTAATAGAGTAGACATGGTAATACAAACATCAAAGGCTCACAAGGAATAGACAATCCGTGTAGATATCTAGGTGCCAACTCTTAACCTTCAAACTGAAATCAAGAAAGATTCAACACAAGTTTAAACAAAACTAACTTAACCAAACACTACTAAGGACTATAGGGACTCGGACCTCATCTAAATGATGAAATGCAAGATATGTAACTCAATAAACCTATTGCTCTGATACCACAATTGTCACACCCCAAATCCGGGCATGACCGGCTATGGCCCACAGGGACTTAGCCCAAGGCACACGTAAGCCTCAATATGAACTCAAAACCATAAAAAATAAATGTGATGATAGCCCAGAAATAAATAAATCAACACTCAATCCAGTGACATACCACAAGTGAAAAACAAGTCATAACCAACTTCCTAAAAATATATATATACTAAATGGGACACAAATCGCCCACAAAATAAAATAATTCTAAATAAAACCCAACCACAATGTATGCACAAAACTCGACAAAACAACCTAAAACAAATTAAATAAATGCCCTAGAGGTCCATGCAATTGAGTCCCCGCTACGCCATGAGTCCACTCTAAGTCCTTCTAACACCTGGAAATGGTAAACAACTAAGTCAGCTGATAGCTCAGTGAGTAGCAACATGGATAGTAAATACAGTTTTGAAAACAGTGTTCAATTCCAAAATAAGATATATATCACAGAAACTAGATTGGCATACAGTTTGGTAAATACAATCTATTTCAAAAAGAAGGTTCCACAGTTCAACACTTAAAATACTCATGTCTCGCAAGAACATGATAAACGACATTTTCCACTTAAAACAGATTATAACATGAACACCAATAATTTTCTGGGTACCAATAAAAACAAATAATGTGCCACACAGTTCTCAAGGCTATAAGTCCCGTTGGATCTAATACCGAACTAAGAGTCATCCTCATGATGGCACCTGGGTCTTTTCTCAAAGACGATCTGATTGAAGGTCACCTAGCTTTTTTTTAAGGTTTTTTCCTTACAATCGTTGAACACTAGAGTCATTACGGCCCAACCCGGATCTGTTCCCTAGTGGCCAGAGTCACCACACACAGTGGAATAATTTCCCCGGACTAAATACACACATGGTCCCAATAATCAATATAAATCAGTTTCGCAAAATATGGCAGTTCATCATTATAAACATGAGACCAAAACAAATAGTTTACAGTATGTCAAGTTCACACATGTTTCAGAAATAATTTGATTCCATTGATAATATAATAATTTATCAAAACAGTTTAGTCTTAAAACAACAATTTAATTTTCCAACAATTCAGGATAGGGGAACATTTATAAAAATATGTAGCATGAAACTATTCACCTGAAAATGATATAATATAATCCTCGAATAAAGTATGAAAGTCCAACTAGTGCCCTAAACCAATATGAAAACTACACGTCACCACTAATTTAAAAATACTAAAGAATAAGAACAAAGTAACCCCAAACTAAAGCGCACTAACACGGCTCAACCCAACTCACCGTTGCTCTTAAATATTACCTAAGTTCATGTTTTTCAAGGTCTAAAATCACCCAAGACATAGGTTTCGATCGAAACTTATCTAAAAGTGACTTTAAGATAAAACAGAGTTTTTCCAATCTATTCGCTAACTTTGAAAATTAAAAACTCACTCCACGTTGTTCAAAAAATTCTAAAACCCTCCAGATATCAACTAATATATCCTAAGCTCCAAACCCAATTGGTTTCACTTGATTTTCTTATTAAAATAATTATCTACAATTTATTATATCCAAACAGGTTGTTTTCTGTAGCACTTTAAAGAAATTGATGGTTCTCTTAGTATACATGAGCAATCAATGCAAGGTCAAAAACGGAAGAAACTAGACTCGTAACCGGTTCTAATGACGCTGATTTGATAATTTTTGGAATTATACCCAAACAGAACAACACTCCCGAATTTACTGTTAAAAATCAGTTTTTTTGGACAGATTTGAACGCATCAGTTTATATGGATTTTGACTCCCAAAAATTATGAAAACATTTAGATATGCAATTCAATATGTAATAATCAACTGTAAAAATTTTCGATTAAAATTCATCCGTTGGATATGGTTTCTTGATTTTTAAAGTTTGTGATTCTGTGCAGAATTTTTGGACTAAGAATTACACCATTCTTTATACATAAAGCACTATCCCAATCAGCCAAATATTTCATAGCCATTCCCAACACATGAAGCTACTTCACCAATTTGATCCATCAACTACACAGCAACTCACAAGAAGAAGAAAAAGATAGTGAAGGAATAAAAATAATAAGGGATTTACTTTGCCAATGGCCACCACAATACTCAACAATTTTCACCTAATGACCTAGACGTCTCTCTCCCTCCCTTTACCTCTCACGGCTGCTCAGAAAAGTTGTGGGAAAACAATATCATAATAATTAGGGTTTGTGTTTATTTTATTTATACTAGTGGTGGGCACACATAGGTCAAATAAATAGATAAATATACAAAATACATATATAAGTTATATGCAATTCAAATGGTAAAGCCTTACTTATTAAGTTTGTGGTCTAGAGTTCAAGTCACACCCTCCTCTCTATTTACTTTATTTTATTTATTTTTATTTTTTTTAGATAATAAATCTTGCCTCTAAATTAAAGACTTTCACCATAAATTTATTTTAGGTTTAAAAATTAATTAAAAGATCCTCTAATAATATTTAATTTGCACCTTAGAATTCACTACCAAAATATTTGAGATTGTAATATTATTATTTAATTATTTACTTAATTTTTATATTCGGGTTCTCACAGAGGTTAAATAAATTAAGATGTCGTCCACAAAGACGACTACAAAATGATCCAAGTATTCTCTAAAGATTCAGTTCATCAAGTCCATAAAGGAAGTCGGCGCATTGGTTAGCCCAAAAGGTATCACAAGGAACTCATAGTGGCCATATCACTTACGAAAAGTTGTTTTCTGGGTTTCCTCCTCCCAGCCTCGCAACTGATGGTACCCCGACCTCAAATCTATCTTCGAAAAGAAGCAAGTCCCTCTAAGTTGGTCAAACAAATCATCTATTCGGGGTAAGGGATACTTATTCTTAACGGTAACCCGATTCAGCTTACGGTAATCAATACACAACCATAACGACCCATCCTTCTTCTTCGCAAAGAGAGTCGGTGCTTCCCAAGGCAATGTACTAGGGTGAATGAAACCCTTGTCTAAAAGCTCTTGGAGTTGAATCTTCAACTCATGCAACTCCGCAGGTGCAAATCTATACAGTGCCATGGAAATTGGTGCCATTCCAGGGACTAAATCAATAGTGAACTCAATCTCCCGGTGGGGTGGCAAACTAGTAAGATCCTTGGGAAATACATCCGGGTATTCACAAACTGCCCTTGGCAACTCAACAAGATTCCCGTCACTCTCACTATCCAAGAGTGTAGCAAGAAGGCCGCTAAGCTCGTTTCTACTACAAGGTTCAAAAACTGGCGGCAAGACCCTATCAACCCGGTCTCCCAGAAAGTAAAAATAATCACCACTTAAGGTGCACACTCTGACACTCTGACGAAAACAATCAATTACCGCCCGGCATGAAGACAACCAATCCATGCCTAATATGACGTCAAAACTCGACATGTCTTGCAAAACAAAAGCAAACGGGAGTCGACACCCGGCAACCACTATCTCACAACCGAAACACACCCGATCTAAGTCAACTGTACCCCCAACTGGTGACTCTACTTTGAGCGGAGACGCTAACCGTGCCACTTCTAACCCCAATGCAGACGCGAATGTACCAAATATGAATGAATGAGACGCACCTGTATCTATCAACACATTAGCCAAAGAATTACACACAACAAAAATACCTCTCACAACTGAGGATCCCGACAATTGCTCGGGCACGGTAACAGCGTACACGCGCCCATGTAGCCTCTGATCAACCTGCTCATCTCTCGGAAAATAGGCCTACCGCACTGACTAAGCCAAAGCGGCTCCCTGATTAGCTCACGAAGTCTGGACTGAATGAGCCTGCTGGTGGCCCTTAGTCTGCCTTGACCCTGATGTGCCAGATGCGCCTCCCAACTACAGGCAAGTTCTCTTCATATGCCCTGATTGACCGCACTGATAACAAGTAGGCCCCTGCCCCCTACTCTGAGACTGACTCTGAGATCAGTTAGGTGGTGGTGGTGGCAACATCTGCTGTCCTCCTCCTTTCTACGGACATGCAAAAGCCTTGTGACCCGGTTGGCCATATTTGAAGCAAGAGAAGCCACTCAGTGAACTCTTCCCCGGGCCCACACTAGGCAAGGAAAAGGTGGATCTAGACTGCTGCGGTGGGAAATGGGATGAAAACATGTTCCTGCTCTTCTTGTTGGGCCTATAGTCCCCCTGTGACCCTTGACCCCTTGACCTTGACCCTCGAATTCTCTCCTCCTTGGCTTCCACGATAATCTCTACATATGTCGCCGCTTCCACAAGTCGGTCATAATTTCGGATCATGTTCTCGGCAACCTTGAACAAGATCTTGGTTCTTAGTTTCTTCTCAAACTCGATGCAACGACGCTCCTCCGTTGCTACTAACTCTGGTGCAAACTGGGACAAACTATAGAAGGCCGCTTTAAACTCGGCCACAGACATATTGCCTTGCTTGAGGTCTTCAAATTCCTGCCCCAACCTCTCCCTAGCCGTGGGAGGTAGGTACTTGTCTTGGAAAGCCACTACAAATGCTTCCCATGTCGGTTCTATTCGACCTTTGGCGTATTTCCACCATTGGCTCGCATTTCTCTTTAGGTAGTAACTCGCAAGAGTCACTCTAAGCTCACTGTTTTTGATGTGAAGCATCTCAAATGTCTTCACTGTCTGCTCAAGCCATTCATCCACTTTCTTAGGCTCAAGGCGACCATGGAACTCATCCGGTTTGGCCCGTAAAAACTCTCTCGTGAGGAAATTGGCCTTGTCTCTACGTCGTTCTCTCTAGCTTGGTTCTCCACCCTTAGTATATTCATCGACTCCCACAAGGCCCCAGTCATTTATCGGGCTAGGGCCCCCATTGCAGCTTGACCCGCTTGCCCCACTTGCTTAGCCATATTAGCTTGGCCCAACCCTTCCTATTTTACTGGAACCTCATGGACCGGTACCTCATGCACACCCCGGCGAGCCCTACCACGCCTTCCACCTCTACCACCACGAGTTTGACCCCTTCCTGACATTCTAATTGAGAAACAAGATAAATAATTTAGCACATAATTCCAAATGTGCTCGCGATTCCTCTCACTCGTTTGAATACAACAATTCTATACAATTTCTACCATACAAACAATTCAATTCACTCCACTTAACCATTTAGTCACGTAAGCACATACGGATTATTCTTTTGTAATGAGATTCGTCCCACGAAAAATCAAGAATTCTTAGTAGAACGAGTATTGATCAAGTAACCTTTTAATAAGACCTCAAGCAATTTAATAGGCGCAAATAACATTCCAAAAGTCCAATCCCATACTCATATAGTTGTATAAGCATGTTATCACATAATCACGAAAAATAAAACATTTCTTAATCATGTGAAATGAACCCACTGTGGCAAAACAACCACTTCCCGTGAGCCCCAAGTATTTAAACCCGGTTGCTCTGATACCAAGTTGTAACGCCCTAAACTAATCCAACATAAATTGGGTACATCAACCAACATCCATTAATCAATAAGGGTTTGTACAAAAGTCCCACATGCGAATTATATATTCAATGATATAGAATACATGAATCTATAGCATGTAGAACATCAAATCCCAACAATAAATAAAATGCCCTTGAGGGCTTACATCTTCCAAGGCTTAAGCCCGGTTACACAAAAATGGTCTCTCAGACCCATACATGAATAGCTCCTGGCTAGCAAAATAAATCACAACAAAAATAGAGTCATTTACTCTTCACAAAATATCTCCACGCCCTCAACTCGGCGGGATCACCACATCTTTTCCTGCACCAAAATCCCATAGGGGTGAGCATAAAGTCTAGTAGAGAATCCTTTACAAATTATATACAGTTATGCAAGATTTTCAATATTAAATGCAAATGCCATGCAATGCCAATTAAAAGAGGATTTCATTTACATGCCTTTTTAAAAGTCACCATGTTCAACAACAACTTTAAATCTCAACAATTCTGAAATTTACAATTTTTTTCAATAGGGGCGGTAAATACAACTCAAGTAATCCGTAGGTTGGTGTCTGCAAGTAGGCATGACTAGCACTACCAAACTCCACTTTACCGGTTGCTAATCGGAAGGGAAGTGGCAGCTCCTGCACGCGTGTTTTTGGTCTTTCACCCCAGACACTCAGGCCAACTTATCAATTTCATCTACACCTCCTATCTGGACTTACCAACGTATTTACCCCATAACATTTCCATGATTTCATTTCACAATATTTCGTTCTCAATGAAAGTTCCAATTTCCAATCCAATGCAACAATTATCTATACTACATCATGTTTCTCCACTTTTAACATAACTCCAACAAATGTTCCATAAAGATCAAAATTTTCGTTTTCTCTTTTCAATGCCATTCCAACAAATAGTCAAAAGTTTGTTACCATTTATCAATATATAACAATATGTCCACAATTCGTGCACTTCCCTCATTTTAATCATTTCAAACCTATAGCAAAATTTGGACAACAATTTCCAATTTCAACAATTCTCATATGTTAAGAAACCCATCATCAATATATATGCATTTGTATAAAAACAAGAAATTCTCCATTTTCTTTACTTATCATAGCACACAACAATGTATATATACATATATATATGATATCAACCATGAACCCTCATCTTCTTTCATTTAAGGAAATCCCCAAACTTCTAGGTTTCTTCTTTACAACAACACACACACACCCTAAACACTTGAAAGAAACCCTAAAGAAGACACCATTTCCTTGCCCAAGATGATTTCAACCCTCAAGATATTATCTTAGAAAGATTTGAGATTTTAAAACCCACTTTTGAAATCCCTACATTATTGAGCCCAAATCAAACCCTCATAATATCCCCAAGAAAACCCAAAACCCACATCAAACTTGCAAAACATATATATATATATATATGACTCAAAGAAGTCCCTACCTCAATCTTGTTAAAGAGATGAGATGAAACCCTAGGATTCAAAAGTGTAGAACTTTGATCTCCACCACACAAATAGGATTTCTAGCTTAGCTTTCCAATATTTGTGAAAAATGTTGGGTCAAGATCCTAATGGATTGCAAGAGATCAAATGTTTTAGGAGCTTTGGTGTAGGAAAAGTAGAGAGAATGGAGAGGAAATGATTTATAGAGAGAGAGAGAGAGAGATGAGCTAAAAATGATACACACAAAGCCCAAAAGTGAAAACAAAAAATAGAGATTTCAGAATGCCCAGAGGCTCGCATGTGCGGCGCCCACTCCCGCACGTGAGGAGCGTGTTCTCGCACATGCGGCCTTCATCCCTGCACGTGCGGTGGCCCCTTCCCGCACCTCACTCCGCACCTACCTTTTATGTAGTGTGCAAGCTGAAAAAGACCCACTTCCTCGCACGTGCGGCCTCATCCCCCACAAGTGCGGCCCTCTCCTGCACATGCGGCCCAAGGCCCCACACGTGCAGCCCTGATCCTCCAATCCAAAAAAATTTTCTGGTTCGATTCCAGACACTCCAGACTCGACCATGCATCTTCCGAAACAAGTGGCACTCAACCCGGAAAAAACAAGGACTGGAATTTGAGAAAAAGCTTTTGAACACAACAAACAAAAAGAGGACAATAAGTGAAGCGACGTACGATGAAATCGGTCATGACACAACCAAAATATTTTGGAAAATCATCCGTTTTTTGACTTTTGTCGGCTATTAGACGATAGGACTGTGTGGACACCTAAAAATCATTTTTTCACTTTTGCCGGCTATTATACAGCGGGACTGTGTGGACACCCAAAAACGTTTTTCCCACATTCGTCCAGCGATAAGCATAGACAGGGCATTTGGGCACCTTTAATTCAAAACCACCCCCACATTTGCCGACTATTATATGGCGGGACGTGGGCCCCCAAAAACTTTTTTCAACTCTCCGCAAGGGTACCAACCACAACACAACACAACCCAACACAACTCAACTCAACCCAACACAACTCAACTCAACTCCACACAACACAACTCAACCAAACTCAACTCAACTCAACCCAACTCAACACAACTCAACACATTTCAACATGCAATTCAACATAACACACAACAAAATTCAACACAACCATTTCAACACCATTCAATATAATTTGGCATAATCCAACACAGCTTTTAAACCTCCACATCATCATTTCATCACAAAGCTCATATTATCCATGCCATTAGTAATTTCTTTCCCCCAAGTTTGGTTTCATGTTATAACATAATTTAAAATATCAACACTAAGAGTTTAATCGCAACTTTTACATAAATTTTCAAACTCTTTAAAATTTCAATTAAACTTGCACGTGCGTAATTTAACACTTTAATTTCATGAGCCAAACTAGGGTTTTTAAGAGAAATTAAAGCTTTTCACAAAAACACTTTTTATTCCAACTCTTTTATGAATTATACACCTAAATTCATAACCCAAAATCAAAACCCAACAAATAAACCCTATCTCTTCAAACCCCAACCCCCAATCTCATGAACTTTGTATTTATATAAAGAAAATATCACAAAATAATGAGAGAGAAGTAGTTTGGGTCTATTTATAGTAGTGGAAAAGTAGCCCTAAGGTCAATAAAAAGAATAAGTCCAAAACCCCCCAAAGGTAGGGCCCATTCGGACCCAGAATTCTAAAAATAAACACACAAGGGTCGACCCCTAGTGTAGGCGTGTCGAGCCTTCAAGAAGAAATGACAATGCTATCAAGGCAAGGTGTCGACCCTTGGACAAGAAGGGTCGACACTAAATTTCAGCACCTAAACATAGATTCTGAAATATATAAGGGTCGACCATTCACAGACTGGAATCGACCCTTGTGGACAGCAACAAGAGACAGTTGTCGACACCACCAAGGCTGGTGTCGACCCTAAATTCCAGCAACACTTCCAGAAATTTCATCAACAGGTAAGGGTCGACCCTTAGGAAGGCTGGTGTAAACCCCAGGACAAAATTTCTAAGTTTCCAAGCAAGTTTTTGACAAGAACAAGCGCAAACAAAGAAACCCAAAAAGTCAAAATTGAATTATACTCCTTCAAGCCAAGATACAATAACCCCAAAAACTCCTAAAATTAAAATAATGAAATTAAATACACCCTCCAATAGTTTAAAAGACATAAGTGTTACACAATCTCAAATATTTTGATGGTGAATCCTAAAGTACAAATTAAATATTGTTGGAGGGCCTTTTAATTAATTTTAAACCTAAAATAAATTTATAGTGAAAGTCTTTAATTTGGAGGTAAGATTTATTATTAAAAATGAAAAATAGGGGACAAGTTAGTAAGTATATTTTGATATAATAATAGTTATATTTTATTTAAAATAATGGTGAGAGGGAAAAAAATAATATAAAACAGAGGATAATTATTTAGAGTTTTGTTTAGACATATAAAACAACCCTAGGGTTCCTAACAATAATATAGCAGCGGCAACATCAACGTGAGAGAGGAAGAGAGAGCGAGAGATAGAAAAGAGAGAGGGAGAGAAACAAACTTATAGCACCTTTATGGCTCAACAACTCTAAGGTAACAATAAAGCTATTCTTGTTCTATTATAGTATGTGGTTTACATAGTAATGGTGCATGCAGGTGTTATGAGTTGTTGGAAGAAAAAGGAACGGTTTGGCTGATTGGGATAGTGTTTTG